TCGCCGGTCTCGTGGCGCCACGCAGAAGGCGAGCTCGCCAGCCGACCACCATCAAAATGTAGGCCAATGTGACGGCCAACGTGGGCCAATAGTTGTCGAAGAGAGCATGTCCTATGCGTCGACCTTCGGTGGGGGATCGTGGCAAGAAGCCGTCGGGATACAGCTGGAAGGAGACCAGTGACGCCATGATGCGTGACGGCTGGTTGTCACGTGTGATGAAACAGCCGGTGAACAAATCCAATTGCGGCCGGTTACACTCATTCGAGGCTCATAAACTTCACCTTTGTCGCCACCACCACCACCATCCTCGTCACATCCAACACCACCACCTCGCAAATCTGTAGCTCAGCCGCAGACGAGAAACCAAGTTGCCTACGCCCGAGGGTCTGCTCAAGGTTTTCACAACCCAATAAGTGCAACACTCAAGCCAGCCCCGGGCACCCTCGTACTAGTCCGTCGATATGAGCAAAACCCGAGTTTATAGCTCTTTCTCTCCATTTCTCTCTTGCTCTCTCTCGCTCGCGCGTGTGTGCTACCGCGCTCTCTCTCTCCTGCCTTATACACTCACGCATTGTCTTGGCGACAAGAGGATTGGATAGACGATTGATTCTCTCGCCCCAGGCCTACTGGTTGCCAGCACATGTTATCGTATTGACCTCCCTCTAGTGCCCATTAACCAGACAACCCTCTCAAGCCATACCGAGTCATCTCAGACGAGGATGAGGCAGATTTTCGTACATCTCAGCCTCCAGACCAGCTGCAGTGTCATATATACTCTCACCCCCACATCCACACCCACACCCACACCCACACCCACACCCACACCCACACCCACACCCACACCCACACCCACATCTCACCCCCAGACCAGCAGATATGGCGCGTTAACCGGTTGAATTGAGAGCTGGGACAAGGCAAGCAAAAGTCTAGAAGAGAAAATATGCAAAATCGACCCAGTCTGATGTCAGGAGAAACGTGTTCTCTGGCAACAGCACCAAAATGAGGCAGCTCTGTCGTCTTAAACATGCACAGGTTCACCAACAACGTAACGTTTGGTGGTATTTCGGAGAGCGGAGCGATATTTGAAATAATTTTTCTCCAGCCTCGTTGAGGATGCCTTAGAGCGAATTAGGTCAAGTCGAACCTGCCAAGGGAGACGATGAGTTATGGACTTTTGTGAAAGATTTCTCCGCCTCAAAGGTTCTCTATTGCCGGAGGCATAGAGTTTGCGGGACTCGGTTTTGTCGCCTCCAGTCTGCTGAAAAATGGTCTCACATTCGAACTTTGCTGAATTATTAAACGACAAATTCAGAAGCCCGAGTCTTACTCGAGCCATTTGAGGCTTAGAAGCCCTCCGGCTGGACTACGGCTCCAAAATGGCACAGCTTGAACTTGTACTGTCGGATCGACACTAAAATGCATGTTGACAGTAACACGCGAGGCGACTACAGTCAAAACTCAGTTTTGACAAAAATCATGGGCAGGTTGTGCCTAGAATTCCGCGAATGCCCCACTGATAGAAAAAACTTGGCCCGCCGTTGTGACTAATTTGGATTTTCAATTACCTCTCGATTAGTCATCAGACTCTTTTAACAGAATAGCCAAGTATGAAAAAAATCAA